GGTGACAATATCACATAATCGCTATGTTCCGTTTCTGAATTTCACTAAATTTTGACGACAAATTCGAAGTCGTTTCTGTTTTTGTTCGTCAGTAAGTTGGTGAGCAACCCAGCGTGACACAACTTTTCTCATCTTTAGATGATCATGGATAATTCGTTCTATTATACCACGAGATAAATCAGTCGCAACCATAATATCATCGTAAGTTGAGTGGGGATCATCTTCGATAATTTGTCGCACACATTCAATATTTTCATCTGTAAGAACTGAAATCGGACAGCCAGATCAAGGATCATCACTGACATCTTCTCTTCTTTCACGAAAACGTTTTGCCCATTTTTTTAACCATTGAATATGATGGGGCGTCAGGTCCCAATGCTTCTGTAAGTCCATCGAAGATTGTTTTTGAATCTATTCCCAAAATAACTCGAATTCTAATATAATATCGATTAAATTCATCAATCATGTTTGACAGTCTGTTTTACAATTGAAATTAAATTCTATCACGGTTTGAAGTCGGATGCGGTACAAATGAGCTTACAGCGAACGACCTCTCACGTATATATACTATCGAAATGTAATGTTCTAGAACATGACGTCATTAAATGTAACGAGAGAAAGTGAACAATGGAAAGTATGAACAGTTCCAGAATATACCTGAACATTGGACAAGTCGTAGTTAAATATCAATATAGTCGCTAAATTATAATCTTAGTCTAGCAGGATGTTAGAACTAAATCGAGGATAGAACAACTCTATAGATTATTAAAGACGAGACGTTATACTATATATTCCCTTTTGAGATTGGAATCATTTTATAAATAGTATATCTCGCAAAATTTTATTAAAAAGAAAGAAGTATATAGCTTAAGAGTGTTACATCTCTTGTTGTTATCTGTTCATTGTTATTTAATTCATTAAACAATACTTGATTATTATGATGAGTATATTGACTAACAGTTTTTCTTTTATCATTGTTTGATAATAATGTTGCATTATCATACGACTCTTATCTTCAAGAATGTCATAGAAATAGATAATAGTTATTTCAAAGTCAAGAGTATTAATTACTTTTTTAACAATGAAAGAGAAAATCAGTTGTATTTTCATAAAATCATTTCTTTGTCTATATGATAATGAACGATCACTAAACAAAATTGAATCGAAAATTATTTCATAAAGCATGATGCATCATGCAAGTTTCTTTTGTCTTTATTTTCAAAATACTTGTATAAAGTATAGACAAGTTACAACTTAAAATATTGATTAATTTAGGTTGCAAATGCTTCTAAAACATGGTATATAACAAATGGTCTTGACCTTGGTCTGCCACAATTAATTGGATATGCTTTTCGAGATGAAACTGTACGAAATTTCTTTGAAAAAAATTTAAAAATATATTACTTTACTTTGATTTTTCTATTCCAATATAGTTAATAAGACGAGCTGATGATGCGTGGGCGATACAGATGGATCGTGACCCAAAAAAACGTAAAGCTTTAGTTTTAATTGGAATTGTTTGTGATGATGTAATTAAAAGCTTTATCAATTTCAAAGGAGCACAAGAGAAACCAAAAAGGGTATAAGAAAATATTATTTTATCATTATTTTTTAATTTAATTTAATTTTCAATAGGATATAAAAGTAGCAATGCGTAAACGTGATCAAATATCATTAAACAGTGAACATACACATTTTATTATAATTCGTGAACAAGTAATTGGTACTAATTCAATGAATGATTCATTAAAAAAAGATCTTACAATTGATACTGGTGAAAAACAGCTAGAACAAATAACCGATGCAGCTAACAGTACTACAAATAAATTTTGTGATCGTTTCGAACAATTTTTACATCAAGAAAAATCACAAGAGCAAGCCACATCTTCCGCTTGTTTACTACCACCAGCAACAAGTAGTATAAATAAAAATTGTATCGATGAAAAAGTTTCATTGGTTTCATTTAGATTCTGCGACAGCAACATCGAATAAATCTAATCCATGGAGTAACGATGGTTTTCCAATGGTATGTACATTAGCTGGTGGTACACCAGGGACTATTGAACGTGTATATCGAAAAATTCACAATGACGTTCCTATCGTAATTCTAACAGGAACTGGATCAGCTACTGATATTATTGCATTTGCTTATGAAGAAATTTGTGCTAAGTAAAGAAAACTAAAAATTATTTTCAAAGATAAAATTTGATTTTAAATTTTGTTTAGAATTGAAAAAGAACATGAAGATACTTATTTGAAAGTTGAGTTAGCTCGACGTATACTCGATGATTATCCTTTATTAAGAAATAATAATGTTAAACGAAATGAAATTCGTGACTTTATTTTGTCAATTGTATTATTGGTTAAAAAGAAAGAACAAGAGAATAGAAAATTATTAACATTTGTCGATATTAATAATGCAATAGCATCATTGAATGATTTTCATAAATTTATTCTTTTAGCACTTTTTCAATGTATAAATATATATTTATTTTCTTTTGTTTTTATTTATATTATTGCTTATTTTAGCACAAAAAGCGGTCTCTGGTACTAAACTTACTGCTCAATTAAAACAAAATCTTTCATTAACACTTAATTGGAATTTACCAGATTTAGCTTTATCAGAAATTTTTCAACGTAATGATAACATGAAATATACTATTCAACCAAGTCTATTTGATGAAGCAATACTTGGAAAAAAACTTGAATCCTTTGTCGATTTATTTCTTGATCGAGACTTTGTTTTACATCGATATTTAAAATCAGATAAATTAATTGAATTATTCAATAACGCGAATGATAAAGAATTTTTTACTACAACATCCATTGAAGGAATTCTCGGTGAGACAGGAGTAAGTACGAGAAAGAGTTCCTATGTTTCTTTTTTGTATATTTATGGTTTGTTAAATAGGATGAAGACGAAGTGAGAAAAGAATTTGTCGAACAGGGTCTTAATACAATTGTTAAACGTTTAACAGATATTAGTCAATTTTTTAGTAAACACGAAATGGATTGTAATGCTATGGGTATTTATTTTGGTGATAAATCAGATAAGGGTGTTCAACAACAAAGAATGCGAGCAGAGAAAAAGGTGAAACTTTTTACTTTATTTTTGTTTTTAGTGTTTTCAAACAACTTATTTTCTGTCTAAAATAGGCTCTTCGACATTTAATTATTTATGCTGTACTAATGAATCGACGTCAATTAGCAAAAATTCTTTGGAAACGTTCATCTGAACCAATCGCATTAGCATTACTTTGTTATATGATGTTTAACAAATTAGCACCATATTGCCATGAATCTTATCAAAGAACATTAATAGAAAAGCAAGCAAAGTAAATTTCGAAGAAAAAGATTTTCGTTCATATTTCATGTTAAATAAAACATTTTTATTATTTATTTTAGAGAATTTTCCGATTGTGCTTTAGGTGTTCTTGATAAAGCATTCAATGAAGACAATATAAGAGCATTCGAAATGCTTGATGAAAAACATGCGGTAAAAATTATTCACATAACTATTATTAAATTAAGTAACATATAAAATATTTTTCAATTAAGGATTGGAATAATATGGCAACTATTGAATTAGCTTACAATGCAGACAATAAAGCATTTGTTGCACATGCTGCTTGTCAAAAATGGGTTACAAGACAGTTCTATGGAGAAATTACACCGCGAGAACTTACATGGGGATTATTCAAATGTTCTGATTCTCTTAAAGTAAATAAAATATTAGATCAATACGATATGAATATTTATTCTTTATGGATTAGATTATATCAAGTGCTATTTTGATATTTCCAATGTGGTTTTGGATAAATTTTTCTCCGATTGGTCAAGCACCTCCATCACCGAAAAAACGAAGTGATTTACCATCCAATGCAAATAAAGGTTCAGAACCAGGATCAAACGTTAATAGTAAGATATGTTCATAAAATGTTTTTAAGTATCAAATCAAAAATTAAATTAAATTTAGAAGCAAAAAGATTAGCTAGACAAGTTGATGAAGTTAACATCCGAGAAGGAGTATGTATTTCATTAATTACACTTATATTATGTTTTATAAATCCCATTAATTTTATATCAATGGACAAGGTTATAGTTTTTTTTCATATTAGTATATCAAAGTAATATTAGATCAACAGATTAAATATCCAATAATCTTCAATTATTTTGGATATTCGAATCTATGTTCTACACAAATGAGTCATAAGACTTGAATAGACTAAAGCTTACTTGAGATTCAGAGATTGTAGGATTAAATATTTGTTTCTTGTTGTATCAGATTGACAGACTCACAGTGTATCGAAATTTTTATAAAAGTGTTCTTGAGAAAATATTTAACTTAGTATGATTAAATATTAGATTCTACCTTGCTAATGACTTGAAATAGTGCTACTTTGTGATACGTTAAGAAAATTTATACAAAAAAACTCGAGTTAGATAAACTAAAATTACTAAAAATTTCCTTTACCTTCAATGGCTAAGCCTAAATGTCTAGAAGACATGTTCAACAAATGGAACAAAATTAAAAAATAATTTCTTTTTTTTTCTCCGAGCACTTTTGTTTCATAATAACTTTGTTTTTCAGTAAAGTAGAAGAAAATTTCTCTTTCAAAAATTGAAATTTAAAAGAAAAGAAAAAAAAACAAATGTTGTCATGTTTCTTTAAGTGCAAACCTTTTGATTAAACATTCACCTAACTTGAAATCAAGACACAAACCATAAAAGAGTTTAGGTTTGATCTCGGTACTGAAAAAACATTGACTGATTCAAATTTAAGCTTAGGTTTGCTTCAGTTTACAGTATTTTTGAAGAGCCCGTACTAGCTCTAATTCGTCAACTAAAATACTCTCAGTTAGAACTGGACTTGATACATCAGTTGAAGAAAATAACATAAGCTAAAGTTAGTCTAAGCTCAAATTTGAGCTATTCGATTACTTTTAGTCCTAGACCTACTTTGATCTAAACATCATGTTTTCAGTGACGAAAAAAAGTTAACACATGAGCAAATCTTTATGGAAATGTTATTTACATTAGATCAAACAAATAGTTTATATGATTAGAATGTTTAAAATCTTGGGCGTTTCAGTATTTTTCACATGGTAATCTGATGTAGATCATATTAGTAATGCTCATTAAAGAAACAAACAAACCAAACAGATGTCATAAGTATAATAGTAAATAACGAAATAGGAATGATTTTCAATATATATGATAGAAGAGATACTGTCGAGTCTTTTTTTTAAAAACTTATTGAATTTATTCAAATGTTTGAATTTATTCTACGTAGTATATGACATATTTTAATTAGAGTAGAAAAAAGTTATGGGTGAAAAAGTATTATTATTCATTAAAATATAATTTTTCCACCTTAACTTACATTATTAACCTTCCTATTGTACATCATTAATGATTGCTAAAATTCACATTTACATCTATAAAAATCTTTCGAAATAAAGCGAACTCTGAAAACTATCATATACGTACATATAGTTTAAATCAATGTATAATATTCTACAGATCTATTTTATCATTTATAGAACACACGATTGTTAGAATCAATCTATGATCATTCATAGGCTTAGAAAATAATTCTAATTTTGATACTAATGAAAACTTTTTATATTCCTAAAAAAAAAGAAATATAAACATTTTTAAAATAACAGGTTATTCATGCAACCTTTGTAGAGTTATGACATAGGGTTAATGTGAATATATTATAAATTCATGGAGAATATAATACATTCTTTGGTGTAAAACTTTCACAGTACTACTGTGTCCGTGATGAAAGATTTTATTCAAAATATGTAACATTCTATTAAAAACAGGTATATGAAATCCAATAATCTTCTATAAGAATCTCCTAGAATACACTAGTTCCTTGGCTGTTTTTATTACATGCTGTGATGGACAAGAAGATTGCTAAAGTAATAATCATGTTAATGGAAGAAGTAGATTCACATTACTACTTCAATATTCCTTTCGAAACGCGTTTGACAAAAACTAAATATAAATAGACGCACTCAGTTGATAATACCATGAAGTAATAGATAATTAGTATGTATTTAGTTGATCTCCAAAGCAGCTTGACATACCGATATGACAAAGTTACAATATTTTCGATACTATGTATACATATATATATATATATATATATTTAGAATGGACTTCTTCAACGACTAAGACGTTGTTTTGGTAGTGGTAAGTCAAAAATGCAAAAAGCTACACCGAAGGCATCAGACCCAGATGAAAAAGACATGAGTCATTTTGAAGAAATTCATGTTTTATGGTCAGCGCCAATAACAAAATTTTATACGAATTTCGTTGCTTATATTATATTTTTATTCTTTTTTACATTGGCTGTTATGTGGCCATCATGTGGAAACTTACTACTTGATTGCATTGTTTGGCTTTGTGCAGCATCGATTGCTTTTGAAAATGCGCGTGTCGCTTATGAAAAATATTGCGTAAGATTATTTGAACGAAAAAAAAACAGATAAAAGGATTTAATCATTTGAAATTTTAGTCTCAGAGTAGTTTACCTTTCCATCAAGCAGTGTTCGAAGTTATTGTACAAACTATATTTCTAGCACTTTATCTTGGTGTTAGAATTATTGGTTTATGGAACTTTGGAAGTAAAAAAAGATTAGAAAGAAATATAGTCCAAATAATTTCTTTTATTTTTTCTTGTGTACCATAGCTTGTCACATATTATCAGCAAAAGCAATCTTAGGTCTTGGATTAATCTATTATTATTATCGGCTATTAATTATATATTTACCGATAAGTCCAAAACTTGGTCCGATGATGATTCGACTTCAACGTATGGTAATTTCGTTATTCATTACTTTGTCTATTATTTTCTGAAAGAATATAATAATTATAGATAATGGATGATTTTTTTACATTTTTACAATTATTTGTGATATTTATGATATCATCTGGTGTTGCAATAACAGCTGTACTGTATCCACATCATCCACTTAATCTGGATTTATTTACAAGAACTTTTGTATTTCGCGGTTTAATGGCATTATTTAGTGGTGACATGGGTGATTTAAAAAAACAAGAGAATCCATGTACATTAAATGCGACCACTTCCACAGAAAAAGCATATGCTTGTCTACGATTATCTCAGGGTCTCTCATTTAGTTGTAAGAATATTTTCTTTTGTTCTTTAGATTAAAAAAGAAAACTTTTTTTTTCAAGATGATAATCTTAATGTATATCAGCGATATGGAATATCAACACCAAGATGCAATCAACCCTCATGGATAGCCTGGGTGTTACTTATACAATATTTCTTTTTAGCTAAACGTTTTCTTACATCACTTTTAACAGCTATGTTTGGGTTTGTTAATTTAAATGATATGGATTGTATTAAAATGATTAAATTATTTTTGTTTCTTTGATTTTGTGAAATTAGTTTGACTGGTGCAAGAGTGCAAAGTCAATCTGAACAAATATGGTTGTACAATCGATATGAAATCGTTTTGGAATATGCTAAACGACCATGTTTACCACCACCTTTTGTCCTTATTTCTTATATTAGTAATACGATTTTGAATATATGGTTAACTAAAGGAAAAACAAAAAATTTAATTGAAAAAAATTAAATGAAAAGATTTTACGTTTACATTAATTTTATCTTAGTTATAAAAAATATATAGATGATGATATACCTTATTTAGTGCTATTACTTTGAAAAAAAGTCATACTTTATTAGTTCATTATCTCGACAAGTCATGAGATGACATCGTTAGATATTCTCTTTCTATTTCAACAATTCTTATTTTTGTCTACGAATATTACATAGTTTTCTAATGAAAAGCATGAAAATCGGAAGAAGACGATATAGATTACAGATTTCTTAAGTTTACTCATAGTTTTTGTATTATTTATTACCTGATAGAGGATTTCACGCTAAAAATGTGCTTATTTCAAGAAACTCATTAAGATTTTAAATATATGTTTATAAGTTTTCATAGAAATTCTAATGAATCATTTTGTAAGTCATTTACATTATAGATTAATTCATTGATGCGTACTATGGAATCGGTTATAACTAGCAAGAGAGATCTTTGTCTAAAATTTGTTTTGTTAAATTCAAACTGTTTTTCAAAAATTTCTAATAATATCTAATTGTTTCTTTTTTCTTTTTATAATAGTTATGTTGATACAAAGTTGTAGTCATAAATGCACTCTAAAAGCCAAAGAATATTCTGATAAAAAAAAGTCTGCTGCACGTCGAAATCGTACAATATCATCAGGAACAGGTATTCATATTTTTATTCTTATAATAAATGACGTATTCCCTATTGCAATGTATTATTCGATTTGGTTTAGACACAGATGATCATGATCATTATAGAAGTAGTACCAAAGATCTATCAACTGCAGCACTCGAAGATCATTCATTAGTAGGACATTGTCTTGATTGTAAACTGTGTAAATCAGTCACAGAAAAGGAAGATAAGAAAAGTGTATGTTGAATAAAGATTCTTTTATATTTTATCATTGAATTTAATTTATTCTAGAAAAATGAGAGTCGTAATACAGGAGATAGTGAAGCTAATCTATACTGGAAATATAAAGCTCAAGAATATTATGCTAAAACACAAGAAAGTGATAAAGTACAAGAAAAACTTGATAGTTTATCAAATTGGTAAACATGAAAGTTACTTTTATTTTCATTATTTTATTAAAACTTGATCTAATTAATTATAGTGTAACAAATATACAAAATGATATTGATCTACAACGAAAATCATTAAGACAAATCAACGATCGTGTTGGTACATTAGATAGATTATTAATTGATTCACATATACTACTTGAAAAAATTCGTTCAACAATTCAACGAGGAGATAAAGCGTTATCTCAGGTTGATAAATTTACATATATTTTATCAAGAGAATCACCATATATTTGTACAAATGAACTACGATTTCCCGTTACTGAAAGATATATTTCTTGGAAGGTTATTTTCAATATTTCTTCTTTAGTTCTTTTTATTTGATCCAAACTTAGAAAGAAAACTAAAATGTTTAGATTCAATTTGATTTATATGATCCAGTCATAATCTCATTACCGAAAGAACATGCTTGTTTTAAAGAGAGTGAACGACCATTTGTTGAACCAGAATTGTAAGTTATATTTACTTCAATAAAATATCTAAATATGAAAATTATTTCAGACTAAAATCAACTTCTGATGATAGTCGTACTGTTACTACTGGTGAATATGAAGAAAACCTATTAACTATTGATACTAGTACAACAGTTCCTATAAATCAACCAGATTTATTTGGAGTTATTGAAGCACCAATAACACCAGTAACAAATAATATGACTATACCATTTGCAGACTTCAAATGGAATCAAATAGCTGAATTACTATTATCCAATGGAAACAAGGTTTTTATTCTTGTTATTTTTTTAGATGAAGCTATCTCGAATTTACATTTTCAGATAATTGTTGATCGAACAACCTGGATAGCAAATTCTGAAGATAGAACATCTTCAGTTTATCAATTGGACGCTCAACTATCCATACCTTTGTATATCAATATATAATAAAAATTCTATATAATAAAATATAATTATTCTTTTTGAATATAGGAATCCAATAGGTCGTACCGGTGTACGTGGTCGTGGTGCATTAATTCGATGGGGACCAAATAAATCTATTTTGGCTGTAATAACACGATGGAAAACACATCATGGTCAATTTACTATTATTGATGGACAAAGGATTTTAGAAGCTCTAGTATTTAAAGATAAAACTAGCAATGATTGGAGATTACCTGGAGTATATTTGATTTTATTGTTTTAATTTGGAAAAAAATTCTTATTTATTTTTGCAATTTTTAGGGAAAAATTTTAGGTGTCGAATCTCCATACGGTGTCGTATGCCGTAGTTTTAATAAACTTGCTTTTAAACATTATGATTCTGAATATAGTCTGTCTACACGAGAAGAAGATATGATTGAAGTAAAATACTTAGATTTCTTTAATATATAATAAAAGTTAAATTATATTTAGCATTTTAAATCATTTGCTCGTTCGTCTTCCAGTACTGCTGAATCAATTGGTTTCAATTCTCATATGATTTATCGAGGTTAATTGAAGAATTTTTTATTTTAGTTTTTTTTTTCGTTTATTTATTATTGTTATTATTATTATTATTTTAGGATATATCGATGATTTACGCAATACAGATAATGCTTGGGCAGAAGCAGAAATATGGAATTTTCATTATGATTCAGACACACCATTTCCAAATTTACGTACAGATGTAAGTTTACTATTTTTTAATTTAAAAAGAAAATAGTTATTTTTGAAAATATATCTATTTAGGATGTGGCTGTATGGAAAGATGTGACACATAATTCTCGAGCTTTTCTTATTCAACCATCAATTTTACGCGAAATAGCTCGAATTCATAATGCTTATTTTGAGTGAAAGATTATCATGATGCATTTCATGTGATATCGTAAATGTCATTCATTCAATCCATAAAACTATATTATCTACATTTGCTGTCACTCTCTTTGTGTATATAATGATGTTTTACTTTTTTTGTTTTATTCTGTTGTTTTTTATCAGTAAAATACAGGGGAAAACATCTGATTTAAATCAGCTGAAAATCAAACTAACTCAGATAAATCAGTGTAACTCACATCAACTCATTCTAGATCGCATTAAATCACTTTAGATCATCTTAAAGCCTTTTAACTCACTCTAACTCACTATAAATAATATAAAATCGGTAATCCTAATTTAGACATATTTTTGACTCGTTGAGTCCCGAAGATGCATATATGTGTCAGGCAAAATTAAACTTAGATTTCGAAAATTAAAACTTTAAACCAGACTGAACTTCATGGTATGACTGATTCAACTAAAGTAATAATATTTCAAATTTTATCAATTTACTTCAAAAGTACATAATAAATCAAAATATAAAATCTGTAAATTTTCTTTTCTATTCGAATTAACATTAATTGGAGAGTTATGGATTTATTTACTAATAGATTGTAAACATGCCCGTAGAGTCCCTTAAGCAAGGACGAAACTAGTCGTGTGATGCTCTCAATCTAAAAATTTCTTAATAATAATTTTCCTCATGAAAATCGAAATAGATATTAGTGATCTTTCTTCAAAGATTTTGCTAAAAGTTTAGTTGGAAATTACTAAGAACTTTTTCTGTTTTGAAAATTGATCGATATACCACAATGAAGTTACCGAACTTATTTGATGATGGACCCTTAAGCAAGGTCCGAAACGCGTCGTAAGTATTGCTTGGTTTCTTCAAAAAATTTCATTATATACACACCTACACATCCTATCATTGCTTTGAATTTCCTATTCAGGGTTTCAAAGTAACAATATATGGTTAGTACTGAGGATTTCTTCTTAGAAATTCTTTTGTGCTATTTGCTATCTGATGAGATCTTTGACCAAGATCGAAACACGTGTCATGGCTGCTTGTCACACCCCACCCACACCCACCCATTTAGATTATTTTATTTTTAATGTTAAACTAATGTAATAATTATGTTACATTTGTTCTGTCCTTCGTAAAATTTACCTTGTATTTTCTGTTAGACGTGTTCTGTTTTTATGTAAAAGTTCATGTAATAGTAGATGCTTTTTATTGTTAATGCAGAGCCCTGATGAGTGTTAAAAATTTTAATTAAATAAACACGAAACGCGTCGGCGAAATTAAACTATGCATTTTCTTTTTATTATTTGATAAAGCACAAGACTTTGAACTTTGAAACTAACTACGATTTGATCGGTTGCTGAAAAGCAAAAGTTAAAACTAGCAGATTGATTTGTATCAGAGAGATATAGATCGGTCTGTTTTCAATTTGATTTAAAATCTGACTTCACATGTTAATGGTATCATTATATTATAATATCGCCTTATTATATAGATTAATAAACGATAAGAAAGATCGTAATTGACATCATAACACAGATTAAAACGAACACGACAAGCTGCAATTGAATATCATCTTCTGTTAGATTGGCTTTTCTATGTATTCAGCATTTCTTAGAGAATTCACCAGCTAATATTTATTGACCAATAGCTTACCTGTCCTTTATATCTATACCATATAGTAATTTTTGTTTTGTTTTTAGTTTACTGCAGTAATGATTAATTATTCGTTCGTGTATAAATTCTTGATTAATTTTTATTAAAGTATATAAAAAGAAAACTTGTTAGAATAACAAAGGTATTAACTGATAAAGTAAAAGAAAACTACTTCGTGCTTTGTTAATAAAAAAAGAAAGAAAGTGAGGATAATTAAAAACTCTTATAGACGAAAGTAATAAAATTTTTTTATGAATTACAGAGCAATAGTAATAAAAAAGCAATGATAATGTCGCATCTCTAAGGATAACACATTTCTGTCTTTTTATTCTGTGATAAGTTCCTTGATTATTGTATTGTCATCAGCCTCAACCCGGAAACTATCAAAAGTATGTTTGATAATTCCAAAGTGTCGGTGATTGCTGAGTATTATTGTCAGATGAATTAGCATATTGATCTGAAGTGTAGTTCGGTCTTTGAACAGAAGCAACATTACTAATCATATCGAAATTGTGCGTGTGTCTATTGGATGGTTGTCCGTTTGAGTTATCAATTGAATTTTCTGCATTATCGTGATTAGTAACTGACTGACGGTTACTATCTGTTTGGTATTTATCATCAGAATTTCGTTTACACTTACGAATAAAAAAGTGTAAAAACGGTAAAAATATTACCTCAACTATAACAAATACGAGCACAACCATTCCAATAATCGTTGTTATATAAAGGAAATCATGATAAACTATTTCAGGTAATCTAGCTATTGGTGACTGCTCATTTAGTACATAATAGAGTGTTTCAGTGATAGTTAATGTCAAAGTTGTTGACATCGCTGCTCCTTGATTTAAATATTCAGTGTTTGTAATGAATGATTCGTAGTCATTCAGCAAAAAAGAACCAATCCAAATTCCACTCAGTACTTCATCATCACCACTTACAAGTGGACTTGTATTATTGATTACTTTTGTCAGTTGAAGGGTCATATGGACGTCTGTTCCAAGTATATGTTCACTTTGATTGAATGTTTTTGAAAAACCTAAATCTTGGAGCGTTGCTGTAGAAGATTCTTTTTTACCAGGACCACTCAGACCTATACGAAGTCCACCAATTATATTTGTCTTTGGTAAAACAAATTGTACAATAATGGATTTGGATAGCAACTGAGCACTATAGGAAACTACATAGTTTGACGCATAACAAGAGAGATTTGACGTTACTGGCTCCCATGTTGAACCTGAGAGATACTCCATTGTACCTGCATCTGATGTGCAATTGTACACTGTATTGAGAAACGAAACAGACAGATAGACTTTTTGATCGTTTAGCAAGCCAATGATGCCTTGAATGTTTTCAGAGGGTGGTATCGATAAAGACCGTATAGTTGAAGAAAACTGTGCATTTCTTATACTCGTATCACATGCGTACGTCGAAGGACCAACTGCTTCAATTGGATAAGATTTGTAATAGTAGGTACTGAATACACAGCAAGAAATACAGAGTACGAGAACACAAAATGTAGCAAGGCCACCAACCCACATGTTACCTTCACGAATGAGATCTGTTTGTTTGAATATTTTCTCACAGAGTTTATAACTATTTACAGCTTTTTGATTTTTAAAACAGTGCCTAATCACAAGCATGGTACTTGCGATGAGAACTACAATAGCAGCAACGATCAAGGTCCAAAACATTGGTGAAAGAGCAACACAACGTGCAGATGAACCAATTGAAAACAGTGAGAAAAACAGAATATCATCAAGTCCAGTAATATCTGGGGATTCTGGGTAGTCAATTACTTGGATGACGTTGCTGAGCTGATCATCCGAGATAGAATCACTTACAGAGCCAAGAGGACAGAATGTATTTACGGCACAAGCAACACAGGTTGCTACTGTAGGATTGGTGCCATCATTTTTTGTTCCTGGTGGACAGAGTGAACACCGACGAATACCTGTTACATTCTTATAAGTGCCGGGTATGCATGGCAGTTGAGAGGAGAATGCCGGCACAGCTTCAACATTCGGCCCAATGGTTGAGGCATAATAACCACTGTCAGCTGAGAGAATGACAAATAGACCGCCTCCATCACCAAGAAGAGCTAAATCTCTTGAAGTTGTAATGATATTAAGTAAAGTAGGAGACATGTAACGATAGAGCGGTTGTTCATTGTTGGGGAAAATTGAGATGGGTCTTGAAGTATTCGTCAATGGACTGTCATAGACATAGACTTTCGAAGAACTCCAAACGTAACTTGTCGAATAGACGTTGACCAGAATAACAACACTGTTGAGAGTGTCACTGAGCCAGGCAACACCTTTGCCGAAACCAATACCTCGACCGTTATTTTTTGAAGTAATCAATGTCAGTGTTGTATTTGTGTAACTGAAGAGAAAAACTGTATTCATCGACTGAATTCCGACAAGGGCTTGTTTAGCTGTCGGATTTATACTGACAGATATAGCGAATTCAGGATTATTCTTCTTCGCACCTGGATTTGTTAGTCCAATCTGCCACGAATGAATTATGTTGACAATGCCTGTTGATGCATCAATACCAAGCAGAACAATAGCTGCGTCGTATGTAATACCTATTAAAACACAAAAAGAGAACAGAGAAATTGAGATTGAGAGAATAATATATTCCTATGCTTTTATTCATTTCTTCTACATACGTGTATTTCGTTCATTCATGAGAAAACCAGCAATAATAGCAAGACTACCATCGTAATCAATGGCATATGGCTCGAATGATGTCCAACCGAGAAATGAACTTGTATTAGTAGAAAAAAATTGCGTCGCAGATGCATTAAAAAAAAAGATCAAAAGATCGGAGAAACCGTAGGCAACCAAACCAAGAGGATCCGTTGTCATCACTAAATGTTCTTGATGAGGCAAAGAATCAGGCACATACGCCAGCTGCCGCTTGAAATTAGAGCAATTAATTTCACTAAGAGCACCGGTATAATTGTAAAAACCCACAAATGTACGATTTCCTACTTCTGTGTCGTCATCTTCGTTCAAATTCATCATTTCACCAATGAAGAAAAAGCTCGGTCTGGATTGACGTTTACCTAGAGCCACTGTATAAACATACCACGAGGGATTCCCATAATGAAGATAACAACCGCGCTCATCGCTTAAGGTAACATTATCAGTGTAATTCGCAACTTGAACGTTAAACCTGCGATAATCATTTTGAGCTTGAACAATTATCAAATCGTTACCAGCTATTTTCAGTCCATATGCATCATAATCTTCAGTGTTAGGCGAAAAACCGGCGATAAACGAGAGACATATGAAGAATATGAGAATTAAGAATAACTGATGTCGAATAGACATTTGAATCTAATTGCAAAAAGAAAATGAAAGGAAACTAGAGAAGAAGTCGTGCTTAGTATAATCTTCCATTTAAATAGATCATGTTGTCCAGAAAAACGATCTGAAAATTCTTTCTAACAGAGAGTTAATTCTGTTCCACGACGTCGAATATTGTGGATTCAATTCTGCAGCCTCATCTAAATGCTACTTCAATGTAGCAGTATCAAAGACTTTGGCAGAATTTCATCAGTAACCATCATACACTTCACTAGATGCTAACGATACACTACGAGAGACCCTTGCAAAAGCCAATCAGAGCTTAAGAAATATGATCATTAATGCTGCTTAGAGGAACTGATACAACGTCTAACAGAGATAAATCAAAGACCATCATATAGGATTATAGAGACTCGTTCGAAATTTCAATAGAGATTGACAGAAGAATATGAACACATATATATGTATGCAACTCATCTGTATTCTCACACAAACCGAAAAATGACAGTCACAACCATACTTCATAAAACCATCTCTGTTTATTTCATCTTATGATCAATTTGAGAACCGAATCTTTCCAGGTAACTAATAAATTTTGTAACGAGATAAAACTTATTATATCTTCTGTGATTTTTTTTCAAAACAGCTATGAAAAAATTCTTACCTTCTGAATCTGATGAAAACAATGAGTGTATTCAATTCGAATGCTCGTTACCTTTTATACCAACGACATGCTGTGAGGTTTCTCCAGTTTCTATGGATGCAATATATTTAG